CAAATTTCAAATTGCTGCTTTCTCTAGATTGAAACTTGCGAATTTTTGTAGAACATTGTACACTTGAGTGGAATTGTTCAGTTAGGACCAAGCATCTATATGGTTGGAAAAAAATCAGGTCTTTGTCCGATTTAAGTCAATATTTGAGGGTTTTTTGCTTCACATTTCTTCTATAGGGTAATTCAAATTCCATGTTGTTACCTGCTTTGAATTGACAGGTATGAATTTTTAAAAAGAGCGTGCACTTGAGGGCAAATGTTCAATTTTGATCCATCATTTACATGGTTGGAAAAAATTAAGACTGTATGCTGTACTTTAGTCTAATTCATTTCGCATCCATCATTTACACAATTGGAAAAAATCAGGATTTTAAACAATTTGAGTGAAATTTTCAGTATTAGTTAAAGTTTTTTAGCTTCTTCAGAAGCTATCTTCCTGCTACGATGGCTGATCTAGATTCCAGCTGAAAAAAATAACATCATAAATAAGCCCAATAGAAGAAAATGCATTAACATCTTTAAGACTAATTAAAAATTATACATATTTAATAAAAAACATTAAAATCTAAGAAAAATATGTGGGATTGTTTGTGTGTAAACTTTCTTTCTAATGTAATGTGAAAGACAAAAAAGGCAAAAAGTAGGACATAATTTGTATTATCACATAAACAGAGTTCTGGAACTAAATAATACACAAGTATGATTAAAAAGTAGATAAGTTGAAACAAAACTAAGTGACTACAAGAGTTTTCGCTTTTAATAAAAATATAATATAATGTCATAAAATATAACAGTGGCACAATTTCGGTTAATTAAAAGATCCTTAGAGTAGCAGGTGGAACAGTCGCAGAATAATTTAATCTTAGATTTATACATATAGATCTAGTGTAAATTCCAATACAGAAATAAGGCCTCGTGCGGACAGACTCAGCTGGAAAAGGTCGGGACATTTTTAGGAAACTGTCCATTGCAGGACGGCGGTATCTCGTCCCCCCGTAGAAACCACTCGGGAATCGTCCTGCAGGAAACTCACTGCAGTCACGTGGCTGCTGTGTCCTGAGTAGGTGTGACAAAGAGACTGCGAAGAGGAAACCAATGTTTGAAAAAATAGGAGTTTTTCCTCACAGTGACTTACCTTTGGCTGGCAGACCGGGTAGCTGAAGAGTTTGACTTTGCCGAAATCGTCTGCCGAGACCAGCAGTTTCCTGTCGTGACTGCGATCGCAGAAATTCACATCCGAACCATCGGCGTTTTCCGGCCAAATTCCCACAGTGGTGAACGTCAACGTGCAAGTGTTGCTCGACCATTCCACATCCCGCATCAAGCTGGCCTGGGGAATTTGCCTGCAAGTTCCTGCGTTCCCTAATCAACCACATCGCCGGTCAGAAAACACAAAAAACCGTCTGCAAATCAAACACCAGCTTACAGAACAAGAGCTCATAGTCCCCAGAGTTGCTCCTCAAAGTTTGGTTGTCTTCCGCCCAGTCCACATGAGTGATAAAGCTGGAATGTCCAGAACATTTCCCCACTCGGCTATACTTCATGCCATCATCAGACACCTGGTAGACGTAGATGTGATTGTCTCTGGAACCCAACGCCACCATGCTTCCATCCGGAGAAAAACTGATCACCTGAATAGGCTCGTTACCGTCCGTATGGTGGCCTTTGGGTCAATTTGCAATGCCATCAATAGTCCACTCTAGATGCGGATCTAGAAGACAACTTACCTAACAGCTCGCGCGTTTGGGAGTCGAAAATCATCCACTTTCCATTCACGCAACCCACTAGGATGACGGCACCGTCCTGGGAAAAGGCCACGCTCTGAGCTTGTTCCTGCAACAAAGCACATGGATGGAATGGATTCTTGTAGTCAAAAAATTGCTGAAATATGCCCAAAAGTGTCCCAAAATTAAGCATTTTTCACGCCTAAGAAACCAACCAAACCTATAAAATGGTGCAAAAAAATGAGCTCTAAAAGCACCGGTTAAGAAAGAGTTTGACTGTGAAAAAATGTATACAAAACACTATTTTTGCCGTCCTCAAAAAAATCCCGGGACAGGATTGAAAACGGCGCAACATTTATATTTTGCGCCGTTATTAAGGATACTTTGTTCTGTAAAATAGAAATATATTTGGCTCTCCAGTTCAACCCGTTAGAAGGCAATAAATTTTTGAAAACATGCCGTCCAAATGCGCTCAAATAAAACGAGCTTTCCACTCCTTTATTAAAAAATTCCGAAAATTTTATCAAAAATGTCCCAAAAATTAAAATTCCCGTGCTTATAAAACCAAGTTCATTCTATGAAATGATCCAAAAATTGTGCTCTAAAGGCACTAGTTAAGGAAGAGTGTGACTTTCGAAAAATGGATGCAAAACCTCGCTAACTAAAAACGACTTTTGCAGCTTGATCTTCAAAAAATTCCGAAGGTATTATCCAAAATCGCACTGCATTGAAATGTTGAGCACCCATTAAGCAGACTTTACCTACTCTCTAGAACTGAAGAAAACTTGCTGTCCAAATTCACTGAAATAAAACGCGCTTTCAACTCCTTTATTCAAAAAATTTACAAAATTTGGCCAAAAATGTCCTAAAAACGAAAATTTCCGTCGTTTTATAACTGACCTTGCTCTATAAAATGGTGGAAAAACTCACTCCGTAAAAGAACTAACTGAGACAGAGTGTGACTTTGAAAAAATGTCTGCAAAACCTCAGGACCTAAAAACTACCTTTTCCGCTTTTCTTCAAAAAATTCCCGAGGCACGACTGAAAATTGCGCAACAAATTCTGCACATTATTAGATTGTATGGCTCTTTAGCTCAACCGGTTAGAGTGGCAACATTTTTTTTAATCTGCCGGCCAAACGCTCCGAGATAAAACGCGCTTTCCAGTCCTTTAATCAAAAAATTCCCTAAATTTGGGCAAAAATGTTCCAAAAATGAAAATATCCGTGGTTACAAAACCGACCTTGCGCTATAAAATGATGAAAAACTCAATCCGTAAATGAACTAGCTGAGGCAGAGTGTGACTTTAAAAAAATGTCTGTAAAACCTCAGGACCTAAAAACTACTTTTGCCGATTGTTCTTCAAAAAATTCCCGAGGCATGATCGAAAATCACGCAACATCGAGATTTTCAGCATTTATCCAACAAGCTTTCTTCTGCAAATCGCAGATTTTGTGGCTCTTTACCCCAACCCGTTACGGGAGCAATATGCTTTTGACATCTGCCGCCCATACACGCTGAGGTAAAACACGCTTTCCAGTCTTTTATTCAAAAAATTTGGAAAATTTTGCCAAAAATTTCCCAAAAATTAAAATTCCCGTGCTTATGAAACCAACTTCATTCTCTAAATGATACAAAAAAATGTCCTCTATCGGCACTAGTTAAGGAAGAGTGACTTCAATAAAATGGCTGCAAAACCTCAAGAACTAAAAACGACTTTTGCAGCTTGATTTTCGAAAAATTCCCAAGGTATAATCCAAAATTCCACCGCATTGAAATTTTGAGCACTCATTAAGCCGTCTTTGCTCTGTCGAACCGAAGAATACTGGATTCTCCAGTTCAACAAGTCAGAGTAGTACAATAAATTTTGAAAACATGCCGTCCAAATGCGCTCAGATTAAACGCGCTTCCAGTCCTTTATTTAAAAAAAAAACCAAAAATTTGGCCAAAAATGTCCCAAAAATTAAAATTTTCGTTCTTCTAAAACCGATCTTGCTCTATAAAATGGTGGAAAACTTGCTCTATAAAATGGTGGACTAGCTGAGGCATAGCGTAACTTTGGAAAAATGTCTGCAAAACCTCAAGACGTAAAAACTACCTTTTCCGCTTTTTCTTCAAAAAAAATTCCCGATGCACGATCGAAAATCGCGCAACACTAACATTTTCAACACTTATCCAACAAGCTTTCTTCTGCAAATCATTGATTTTGTGGCTCTTTAGCTCAACCCGTTACGTTGTTTTCCAGTCCTTGATTCAAAAAATTCGAGAAATTTAACGAAAAATGTCCCGAAAATTAAAAATTCCTTGATTATAAAAGCGGAATTTCTGTCTAAAATGATTAAAAGAATCAATTGATAAAAGCACTAGCTAACAAAGATTGTGAGTGAAAAAATGTCTCTAAAACCTAGTCGTTTAAGCGACTAGGGACAGCCATTGAAAGTGTAATCATTTAAACCGCTGCAACTTCAAAACGACTAATTCGATTTTAGTGATTGTTTGAAAGAGAAAAGTGCGCTTTTTCCTGTTGTTAAATAGAGAGAACAAAATAGAGCTCGATACTCCAAGAAGTTCATAGGTTTGGGCTTAGAGAAACAACCCGGGGTTTCCTAGAGAGCGTATCGGCTCCAAAAGAGCCTTTAGACAAAAAGTGCTTACCCCAATGTCTTTGCTCCATAAAATGCTATGAGACATGGACTCCCATAGCTGGAGCACTCGATCAAAGCCCACAGTAGCAAATTGCGGGATGCTGGGATGGGGCGCTAGCCCCCAAAGATCATCGCTGTGACCTGCAACCAAACAGCTCATAAAATCCAATAAATTTGCGCCCAACTTTGCCCAAAACTACCTAAAACAATGGGCTGAAAGCCCATTTCGGGGTTGCCATTTAGGATGCAATTCCTGGTCGTGCCCAGTAGAAGTTGAGAGCCCCTTCCTTCGGAAATCACTCGCACTCCTCCATAGTGGTGGGCAATCTACAAGCACTGGGAATTAGTGATAATTGAGGGCGACTCACGCACGCCCACCTGGCTAACCACCCCAGTTCGGCTCAGATTGTGGTCGAACTGAATAATTTTGCTGTCTTTGCCGCCTCCGGTGATGACACTACCATCCTTGAGCACGCAAATCGAGAAAATGCCCCCATCATGCACGTTCTTCATCAGTTTCCACAGAGTGTTGGTGCCGCGGCCCCAAATCGCCAAAGAACCATTCGAATCGCCTGGAATTGTCCAAAATTCCCTACCAAACCCCGAGCCAATCCAGTCGCCTTACCAGTGATGGTTTCCCCAGTTTGCAAAAAGGCCACACAAGTAACATATTTGGGCTTGTCTCGCGTCTCGAAGATCCCCATTCGCTTGTACAACATCCCTCCGGCATCCAGCGACCAAAAGGCGATGTGCGATTTGCCGCAAGTGACGATGGTGTTCCGTTCCAGAGGGTGGAACTCGGCGGCCACGATTGTATCGACCGAACACTGAAAATGGGGGAAATGATGGGCGATTTGGGGCAAGTGAAAATGGGGGGACTTGCCTTGGTTTCGGTGATTTTGTAGCCGTTTTCGCCCTTTTGCCAGTCCCAGACTGAGATGCTGTGGTCGGGGGCATCGTCCACGGCCACCAACAGGGAGCCTCCATCGGCTCGGGAAAACGACAGGCAGCAAATGGCCAGCTCGAAGTCGTTCATACCAATCACGGCTTGAGTGTGAAGGGAGACGGAGTTCCACACTCGAATATGGGCCTAGATTTATATTTGGTATTAGTTCACTCAAAATCGCCAATGTATCGCTTATTATCGATTTTGGGTGGAAAACGCTGCATATGCACCGTAAATTGTTTACGGCGCATATGCAGCGTAAATTGTTTACGGTGCATATGCAGCGTTTTAAACTGCATTCCATGAGCTAATGAAAAATGGGTAGTTCTATTTAAAAAAAATACACTTTCATCTTGCCTCGCTTTTCTGAGGCACTCTGTATCATACAATATATTGTTTAAATGTGCGTACTTTGTGCGTCAACACATTTTATATGATACTATTTTTCGAAAGTTCAACACCAACAGAAATAATGGACTCTATCGCACTAAAAAAACTGCCCTGCTAAGACAAGAAGTCGTATCTGCAATTTTTCACTTTTTTAGCTTATGCAGAATACTGGTATAACAGAGTTTGTTTTACCTCCCAGACAAGGTCTGGAAGTCGTATCATCATTAGAATACGGGTTTTCAATGATTATATGTCCTATCTGCAAAAATCTACCAGTTACCAGGTCAAAAAGTCGTATTGATAATTATTATTGAGTCTTTTTGCCGTATGACGTATATGCAAGTGTGGTTAGGGATATTATGGTTAGAGTTCGTTTATTAACTGATATTATTACTGCGATTATTTTAGTGGTTGTGTTTGCTAAGTTAGTTTCGAAAGTGTTATATAAGTTGTTTAGGTAAAACTTTACGCTACGACCTGCTGTGGCACGCGCACATGCCTGCACGCAGGGTACGCGCAGCCAAACATTGCATACTGGTCAGCCATGTTGCCGAACTGCCACCAAAGTAGAAAATTTCAATGAAAACAAAAAAGGAATTCGGTAACAGTTTCCGAATTTCGATTTTCAACGGGAACTACGAAGAAGTTCCCATTGCCTCGTTGCCTCGATTATGTTTCCTTTTTCCGACTTTCGCCTCGTCTATTTCAACGGTCTCACCTACTCCACCAATCTGTGAAGAATTTTCTTCAACCCAATAAATGAAAACTTCC